CGTCCCACCTCTCCCTGTCAGCCTGGAAAACAAATCTGGGGCAGTTGCTGGGGGAGGTGGGGAGAGTGGGGCCGAGAACTTCATGAGGCAGGCTCAAGTTCATCCACAAACGCTTGGAGAGGGCAGCATCTGACCCACTTTGAGGGGAACACAGACTCGAGAAGAGTGTGTGCGGCGTCTGCTCTGCATACACAATGAGAGGGAAGGGAACCCTGCGGTCCTTGGCTGCCCAGGCCCAAGGAAGGCTGTGGCGCTCCAGAGCAGCCTTTATTAGAAAGGATTGAGTTTTTAATAACCCCAAATGGGGAACCCTGTGCTGAGCCAGCTGTTCATGGGAGGCATCTGCAGGCATCTGCCGGGGAAAGTTGATAATGGGACTGAAGTCATGAAGCTGCTGCAGCCCCTTCCAGCCGGAGAGCTCCCTGTGGCAGGGGCAGGCCTCCGGCCATCGGTGTAGGTGCTCAGCCTTGGGCTCCGAGCCCCTGCGCTGTGTCTCCCCTCAGCATCCCTCATCTACCTGCGGCTGACAGAAGCTAGAGCCCCTGCTCATCTGTGAGATGGGCCTGCCTTTCATTCTCCCAGCTCAGAGCTTCCCTGAAGTGGATCAGAGTAGATGCTGGGGGCCGTGGAGCAGAAAAAGGGCTCCTCTCCAGGCACCACAGCTGGGATGTGGCAGAGGGGAGGCTGCCCAGAGCCAACCTGGGTGCTTCTAGATCTCACCGTGACACCAGTGTGGACACCCAGTGCCATGCTCTCTTGAGGTGGCTGTGGTCATGTCCCTGGTCTCACGGCCAGCCTCCAGAGAGTCTCATCTTGATGCCACTCTTGGGATGCAGCGGCTGACCAAGATGACTCTGAAGACAGCCACGCTCACCGTGGCTCCCCTCTGTGTACCTCGCAGGTGCTGTGCTAACAACACGGTCCCTTTCGAGGCCTTGCGGCCACTGTGCAGACAAGGAACCTGGCAGAGGAGGCTCGGTCCATTTGCACACACTGGGAGTAAACACCACCTGTCCCTCACGGGGGGGAACAAGGCAGGGAGGTCCGGTGTGACCTCCAGTAGTTGCGCCACCTGACGCAGAGTAGCTACTGGAGACCCGACTGCTCCAGAACCTGGCGGCCGCCTGGGGGTGAGCCAGCTAGGAAGTACAACAGCCTCACTGCTAGGGACAGGACACTGAGACCCTCCTTTCCCATGTGGATTCAGAGGTATCTGCCACCCAGGCATCCCACACTGACCAGTCCAGTCTCCCCAGAACTTATTTGGGGAGCAAAAGAAATGAGCAGACATGATTGCATGTCATCCATGCTTTGAGTTCCTGGATAAGTGATATTTACAATGGCCATTTAACCCTTTCAGTGCCATTCTGGCAGAATGAGAGGGCTTCCGAGGCTACTAAAGGGGAGGAGGGCAGAGCAGAGCCCCTCAGAGGAGCTGGCCCGAAGGCTCCTCAGCACAGCTCCGGGGCTGCTGTCTCTTCCGGCCTCGTTTCAACAGATGGCAGAACTAATTCCTAATTAAGCCCAAGAAAGTTTCCGGCTCAGCACATTTATTTATGATTTTCCGGTCCCTTTGGTGCTTATTCTTCCCCTTTGTCTTCCTGGAACCCAAGCCAGCTTATTGCCAATCCTGAGCTCCCCACTCTGCTGTTGGGAAAGCATGGCCTCATCTGGGGAGAGGGGAGAGGGGAGAGGAAGGGGTGTGGCAGGAGTGTGGGAAGGAGGGCAGGCTGTGCGGGACTCGGTCACACAGCTGCTTTTAAGACAGAATGAAAAGGGAGTTTGTGGCAAACTGACAACTTGGCACGGACTTGAGAGGACAAACAGGCTTCTGAGGTCCACCGCCTTTAGGGTGGTTCTCAAAAACCTGCCTGGAGTGAGCTTGGCCCAGAGGTGGGAAACCCTCATGGGGTCCCTCCCCCAAGCAGGGCTGCCAGCTCTGTGTGGCTTAGTGGCTCCAGGGGTACCTCCGACCTCCATCCCCATCATCCCCTCCTGAGCCTTGCTGCTGTCTGGGGTTGGGAGGGGAACACACCTGCCTCCAGCGCTGGGAAGAAAAATACCCCAGTGGTCCCAGTGCTGGCAGCTGGGGACAGAACCCTAGACCTGGCTGCATTTCACAGTGTACATAACTGGGCAATTTTTCTTCTGGTGAGAGGGCTGTGTCATAGAAAGGTTTGCTTTTTAAGCCCAGAGGTCCGAGTCTCTCATGGAGAAAAATCACTCCTGTGCTGTCGCCCCCGGCAGCATTCTGGAGAAAAGGTTCACCAGAGAGGCTCCTGACATTTGATTATCTCTTGGATCAAAGGAAAAGAGAGGCAGATGACTTGCTAAGACAACAATGTCAAGACAACAATGTCACCACCAAAAAAACAAGTGCTGTCGACCTTCACAAGCTGGTCTCCACCTCCGGCTCCTGATGCTGCCAAGAGCCTCTCTCGAGGCCACTGTCACCTGCTCCGCAGCACTGCAGGGCCCCGGGAGCCTCGGGTGGGAGACCTGGGGATGGGAAGAGGCTGGGGGAAACAGCAGTCGACTTTCTAAAGCAACTGTCAAGTCTACTGTGAGCCTGACTCCGGGGAAGGAGGGTCTCCAACAGCAGGATGGCAAGGGGCCCGGGTTGTCCCCTGCTGCCTTCCAGGACCCCGGGCCCTGCTGGCCATGGAGCTCGGCTCCTCCTCTGATGGATGCAGGGGTACAGCTGGTCTCCTGCTCACAGACAATCGCTCTTTATTTGCCCTCAGCCTCCTCTTCTCCTTTTCACAATCTTCTCCCAGACACAGGGAGGAATCTGTCGCACTAAACAAGTGCAGGAGTCTTCGGAAGCCATTAACTGTCACTATCCTGGGTGTCATCCCCTCTTGGGCTGTCACGCTGGCTAAAGCAGGAATGTCCTCTCTACCTCTCCCAGACTGTTCCCGTCCTCCTAGATGAGGGGAAGGAGACGGGAATCAGCTCAGCTTTCTCCACGCCAGTGTCCAAGGGGCCCTTCCCCCTCCCCACTGCTGAGGTCAAGTACAGCCAGTCCCCACACAGGGTAAGGGCCAGACCTGGGGGCTACAGACACGGCTGCGGGAAGCCACAGGAGCTGGAGCACCAGACTTAGGCCAGGAAGGCAAGGAGGGAGAATGGTTTTCTCCAAACCTGCTTTACTGAGAAAGCTTCTTCTGAGACTACCAGGTCTTACCCACTTGGCCTTACCTAGAGCTTTCAAATACTTCTTATAAGCAGAGAAATAGGAAGGGCAGGCGGCTGAGCCCTGGTGTTTCTGATTCCTGCTGACTCCGACTTCTGGACATAATCCCTCCTGGCACCCAGGGAGGCTCCATTCTAAATCTGTCCTTGGAGCCGGTGGGATCCCCAGGTCCTAAGCAACAATTCTCATCTTTCCCCAGGTAGTCATGTTAAATTAACCTGGGGCTTTGGAACTTGTGAGTGAAATGCGGGAACAGCACTCACTGGTAAGTACGTGACCATACAGACTGAATGGGGCAGATGCAGCCTTCTGCCTGGTCCAGGGATGGACAAGTGTACTCCTGCTTCCTTGTGTCAGCTGGATGGCCAAGGACGGGCTCAGCCCAGATGATGTGCCCCTGCGGGGGCCTCACAACTCATCTCTGTCCTGCTCTCATTTCCTTGCAAGGACAAACCAAGAGTGCAAAGAAGTTACAGGCTGGTGAGTTTGGCTCAAGACAAGGAAAAAAACTTTCCAGCACTGACATAAACCCCTCAGAGTGAAGTGGGAGCCTCACCCAGTTGTGAGCTCTGGGCCCCAGAGGCCACCCTGTCCCCTGTGCTGTACAGCCTGCTCTTAGAGGGGCGGGGCAGGGCTACCTGACTGCTGTGGCCCCTTCCAACTAAAGATGCCAAGACTCCCATGTGCGGAGGCTCCTTACACTGACCTCTCGTAATGTCCCAAGTCTGGGGAGCCAGGGGAACTGCAGATGCCGAGCTGCTGGGAGGCATTTAGATAGGGAAGCGTCCTCAGCAACCATGACCCACTGCTGAGTCCTGGCATGGAATCAGGATCAGCGTGTACCCCCAGAGTCTGAATGAGGGTAGAAGGGGCGAGCGCAGTGGGAAAGGGGGCTGGGTAAGGTGGTCAGGAAGGAGGAGCCCCAACCTTGGCTCCTCTAGAGTCTCTGTGCTGAGAGGTAGGCAAGCTCCTGGAGCCTGGACACATCCACTCTTCCAGGGCCCTCTATCAGAACAGCAACAGCCTTCATTGCTTTTAGATTAAGCAGAAGAAGTGTCCAAAGAACACCCAGAGCGGAGCTGACCAAAGAGGGCCCCACCGGCTCCTGTCCTCCGTCCAGGTGGATCGGCAGCCGGCCCCTTCCCTGAGGTGGCTGGCAGTATGGTGTGGCAGAAGTGGACCAGCCCCCTACCACCAACCTGGTTTTGGGGAACAGACCCCAAGACCGCAGCTGAGGACAATGGCGCTCGTGCTCAGCAGGGTGTCTGTCGGTTAGAAGACGCCGTGGAGGAGGTGTCTTTTCATGCCCTGGTGGCCAGAGACTCAGAGGCAGAGAGTGGCTGTTGCGAAGGCCTGCTGGCTTTTACGGTTATGCCACATAGCACACTCATGAGAATGCAGAGCCATGACGCGCCCATGCCCTGCAGGGCACAGTTCAACCCAGGCCTTTCGGAGCCCCCACTGCCAGCCTGTGGGTCAGAGGGCACCCAGAATGGTTGTATGAGAAAGAAGCTGGTCCTAGAATCAACAGACCTGGGATCTAGCCCCAGCTCCATCCATACCATGTGACCTTCAAAAAAAAATCACCTTTTTTGGTGCCAAATTTCCCCAGCAGTACAAGGCAAGCTGAGTACCTGCCCCCTCCTTGTCCTTTGGAAAGGTGGGAAGACCAGACAGGCCTGAGTCAGCAGAAACCAATACCACACTCCAGCTATGGCTGGGGGCCCTGCATGGGCTCTCATGAAAGGTGATGGAAGGGACGAGAGGGGAAAGGGCAGAGACTTGAGATGTTTCTCAGACTCACCGATCCATCTCATTAGAGAGGTCAGGATCTGCAGGTACTTGGTCTTCTGGACGTCAAAGAAGGTGAACGGTCCGAGGAGGAGAGTGAAGATCGCCTAGGGGGTGGAAACAAGAGTAAGGGGGGCGCTGGCCACACCAGCAGACTGTCTGCACGTGGAGGACGCTGCTGCTCACGCGGCCTCCGCCCACAGCTAAGGCTGGGCCTGACTTGGGCACACCTGGACTGGCAGGGGCTCCCTGGGGTCACCTTGGGTCAGTGCCAGTGCCAGGGGTGGAACAAGAGCTCCAGAGCCATGCTTCCCTGCTGCTGCTCACAAGTACTGTTCCGACAATCCTATGCCTCCTAGGCAAGGCCCAGGTATCATCCCAGGGACCCTATGCATCCTGCTCTGTTCAGCAAACACGGATTGAAGATCCACGATTGCCTATTCTCAAGCTGCCCATGAGCATGGACTAGAGACGCAACAGCAAGAAGGATCCAAAAAAACACCAGCCATGTGTCTGGCTCTCAGTTTACTGGGAAGAACGGACACAGTGGGGAGGGGCCCCGGGAGCCCCGACAAAAACGCGCAGGAGAGGATGCCCCTTCTGCAGGGCTTGGAGAGGAGTGTTTGGGATGTGCCTGGGCCACGTTTTTAGCTTCAAGAGAAGAAGCCTAGAGAACAAGAGCCCCTGGCTTGTAGGGCGGGCCCCTTGGAAGTAGCCAGGATGACCAAGGGAAGGAGCTGCATCTAGCAAAACCAGGGAGAAGAAGTTCGGGAGTGAGGACGGGACCCAGACAGAGAAGGGGGTGCTGGTCGGCACGGGTCCTCTCGTTTCTCTTTGGAGAAAAGGGGAAAGTATTGAGTTAAAAAACAAAAGTCAAACTGTGTCCCAGAAAACTGGTATGTGGGAAATGGGAACGTTCCTTGCAAAGGAAAACGGGGATAAATGTGGCAGAGCAGAGACTGGGGTGTAGGGCAGGTTAGGATTTCCATGCCAAATTGGTTGCTCGGGGAGTAGAGGAATTAAGAGCTGCTCGTTGCAGTTAAGATGATGGTACCATTTCCAATCTGCCACTCGGAAGCAGCGTGAGGCATCAGACCTTATTAACATTTACACAGTGCCATTTCACCACGTTAATGCTAATGACACTCACCAGAGGCAGCAGGCAGCTCGGAAGCCTGAACGAATGTGGGGAGAGGGCCCGCTCGGGGAGTCAGGCTCTGGTCTGTCATCTGGGTGAATCCATCACAGCTGCTCAGCTCTCAGCCAGCCCCTGTGACTGGCAGGCGGGTGTCCCACAGAAGGGGGGCTGAGTCTGTCCTGCCCCCCACCTCTGGCCATAAGGAGGGCAGGATGTGGTAGAAGCTGTGACCTCTTATCTAAGTCCATTATCACTGTGAGGATGAATGACTCCGAGGATTGAATGCTGCTTAAGAAAAGGCTCTAATTAGCTGGGCTGGAGAAGGCGACCTGGCAGTCACCAGGTGAGGAAGGCTCTGGAAGGAAGAGCTTTCTGCTGGGGGACTCAGAACGACCCTGCTTCCGCTCAGGAGAGGGGAAAGCAGCCTTTCTATCAGGTTGTGGGGGCAGGGCAGGGGAAGGCAGAGGAAAGGGCTCTCCTCGCAAAAGCAATGGACAGCCCCTGCCGTCCCCTCAGCCCAGGGAGAGGAGCTGGGGACACAGTAACACATGCAGAACACCAACTCTGGCGGAGCAGGTCTGCACGCAGCACTATCAGTAAGTCATTTAGGAAAATTACCACTTCAGGGAAACTTTCCACTGATGAATTTCTCTTTTGAAGGATGAAGAGGGAGATGTCAGGTAGAAGAATGCATAAACACAGAGCCACCTGCCACAAATGTTTCCAAGTAACTGTGGTCTGCCGGAAACTGGACTCCTGGTGTGCCTGGGTATTTGGGTGGTTCGACTCTGACCTGTGATGCCTTCTGCTGAAATCACAGTCCTCCAGCTGTGGGGGCTGGAGATCGTGGGGGTGCTCATGTGGGAGGTCAGAGCTCATCTCAGAAGCCAAAAGACTGGTTTTTAGAAGGTTCTACACCATAAAAACAGAGGGGCAGCAGAACCACCCCCAAAGGCAGGCAGAGAATGCTCCTGCAGGCTGCCTGGGTCCCATCCCAGGACCCCTTTGTCCTTGTCCATGGCAGATGCTTGTCAAGATCCTAGGACACAGAGGCCCTATTCTGTAAAACCCTGTATGGATGAATCCCAGCCTGCTGACAGCATCCCTCTACTTAGTCAGATGTGCCTCCAAAAGATATTGTAAGTGCTATGTATGAGGTGCCACTTGAGTGACCAGGAATATGAATTTAGAGGAGTTGGAACGAGGGTTCACACCCGCTTAGTGTTCTCAGACCCAGTTCTGGGGACAGCAGGTCTGTCCTCAGCATGGGAAGTGGCAGTGAAAGACTCTTCTGGAAGATCTGGCCAATGGCTGTGACATCCATAGCTGGATGGTGGTTGAAATGTGACTTTTCTTTTAATGCTCAGGAGTACAGACCGACCACAAGGCTTGGGAAGGCTCAGGGCCCACTTAGTCACAGCAAACACGCACAGACTGCCAAACAGCAGCCTTTCCATGGGGCCGTGAGCTCACGCATCAGAGCGCCCAGATGAAGACGCAGACTGTGAGCTGGGGCTAATTAAGGAACAGGTGTCCTCTGCAAATTAGTTAGTGCCAGAACTCAGCAACTGCAGGGGCAGGCATCTGGAGTGACAATGGATGAGGACAGAGGCGGTGGCATGCGCTGCCATGCCACAGTGTGGCTGCTGAGGTCTCAGGGAGGGAGGGGGGTGGGCAAAGGAACAGTCTCCATCTCCAGATGGTCTAGCAGGGGCAGTGTCCGTCTCTGAATGCTCAACAGCCAAGTGTGGCACTTTGTGTTTTCTTTTCTTTTTAAAAAGGAGACATACAAAGCCAAGAGACAGCCTACTCTCTTGGGTCTTCCAGTCTAGCCCATATGACATTATAAATTAGCTGGCTCCTGAGCAATTTCTAACCCCCAAATGCCATTGATCAGTTCAAACTCAGTCTCTGTTCAAGGACTCTTATAGCTCAACTCATTACAGGAGGCAGAGACATGAGTCGCTGCAGCCAAGCACATTTCTAAAAAAAAAAAAAAAAAAAAAAAAAAAAAGCACAACTCTGATTTCTAATAAAATCTTCAAACTGGTCATTGGGAATAAAGTCCGGGACAGAGGGACAGACCCAGGAGGGTACAAACGGGCCCATTCAGATCCTCTTTCTTTTTGGGTCAGTGAGTTTAGATGACACACCAGGGCCCCACAGCAGCCTTGCTGAAGTCTTGATGGAGACAAGGAGGCTCACATTCCCAGGGCACTGCAGACAATGCTCAGCCACAGTTCTTTTAGAACATTCTGGAGTCTATAGCTCAACAGGGCTGCCTGTCCTCCTGTGTCCCTTAAACGCACTGCCCACCTCCAGTTGCTCAGGCTCCAGACTTCCAGCAATCTCTGACTCCTTCCTTGTTCTCTGCATTAGGTTCCCGGGGCTGCTATTACAGATGACCACAAACTGGGGGGCTTCAAACCACAGATGTGTGTTCTCTCCCAGCCAGAAGTGCTCTCTTGCAAGGCAAGGCTCCCAATAGCGCCCCCCACAGGACAGAGCCCAGTCCTACACATGCATTAAGGATGGTACAGGCAGAGGGGAGTCATTCCTCCAGATGCCACCGGAAATGAGATTTAACCACACAGTAGGGAGTAAAGAGCACCTAATCTCAACCTCAGCCCTCTGTCACCTGGACAGGAAAGAAATCCACTCTTCAGAATCAATGACTCAAAGATGTGGGGAAGGGACCCTGCAGCCTTATGGGTGCCTGGTGTGGGATGTGCCTGGAGATTCCCTGGACAGGATGTGGCTTTGCCAAGGGCACAGAAGTACTGACACTTGTGCCTACTTGAGTAGCCTGGCATCTGGGTACCAAAGGCTCAGTCACTAACTGGAGCCTCCACTTTCTTCTTGGAGTGGTTTGGAACAGACTGAATAGTCAGCTGCCCAAAGATGGAATGGGAGAAACAAATGCCGTGCTACTTCTGAGAATGGATCTTTAAATCAGGAACGCTCAACTCACTCCTGCTGAGGCTGAGCCGTGTCCACCACCTGCCTCCCTCCTCTCCAGTTCTAACCCTACAGCACACGGCACTTATAGAAGAAAGGCTCCAGCTCAGCTCATTTCTGTGCCATATACAAAAGGAGTCCAGGACTGCCAACATGGTATGTCCTTTGTTTAACTGAATCACACAGGAGCGTGAGTGAGGGTGTCAACGTCAGAGCACAAAAGTAAAGCGGGTAGATACTTATCTCCCCCGTTCCCAAACTTCTCTGCCCTATTTAGCTGGTCAGAGGAACAAAATGAAATTTTAAACTTGGTGCCAATCTCAGATTAAACACACTGTTTAAGACGTTGCACAATCTCTGGGTCCGGCTCTCTGCCTGCAAAGCAAGGCTCCAAATAGCGCCCCCACAGGACAGAGCCCAGTGCTACACGCGCATTAAGGATGGGGCTGGCAGAGAGGAGTCATTCCTCCAGATGCCACCGGAAATGAGATTTAACCACATAGTAGGGAGTAAAGAGAGCGCCTAATCTCAACCCCAGCCCATGGTCCCCGGGGCAGGAAGGAAATCCACTCTTCAGAATCAGTGACTCAAAGATGTGGGGAAGGGACCCTGTTATAGACCTGTCACAGCCAATCCCAACCCCACATCTTCCCAGCCCCTGGTCCTTTGATTGGCCCTGCCCCTGAGCTATCAAAGCTGCCCTGTGATAGCATCGCTGCCCAGAGCTGCAGCCCCTCCACACTCTGCCAAGTGCTGACACATGCCGTTTCATTTCACGCTCACGGCCCCCTGCAAGGTCACTGGTGCAGGTGACGATGCCCTTATCTTACTGATGAGGAAACTGGGGGCTGGAGGGGTTCACTGACACAGCAAGAAAGCGGCAGAGGGAGAAGGAAGGTCCCCCTCCCTGACACCCCGTCCCCACATTTTCAACCTCATGCCTTCACCCTCCTGCTGGCAAAGAATCTCCCCTGTGACTTTCCTTACTTCTACACCCTTCTGAGCCCTGCT